TATATATATATATATTACGTCATGTAATTTCCGATACTTATGCATTAAGTGTAGAGCTTTTAGAGGTTTGAGGGACTGACAATAAATTACAAACGTAAAATAGTGTTTTTGAACAGCCTATGCCAAAAAGTGTGACAGTGAAATTTGTAACTTGAAACAAATATTTTGATTAATATGTCCAATATTTGCATAAATCTGGACTAAATACTTATGGAAATATGGAAAAAATTTTATTAAAAAGTAAGTTTTTTGTCTTACGTTTATTGCTATAACTTTAAAAATATTCCATAAAATTTTCAAAGTTATTTAAACTTAGTTATAAGCAGTTAGCAATATTATTGCCTTAAAATTTGAGAAAAAAAAAATCGTTTAAAATTGCGCAAGATATGAGCATTTATAGTAGTTTTTTTATACTGCGCATGCGCTGGAAAAATTTAATTTTTTTTCTTCATCTTGTAGAAAATCGTCTTTGACAACTAATAAAAAAAAGTCCGATTTGAATATCTTAAGAATTTAAGAAGTTTCAAACAATTTTCCAAGTAGTTTTGTATCTTTTAAGAGAAACTCAAAATGATAAGGATTTTCACTCGTATTTAATTTTGTACAATTGAATAAAATTTATTAACCACTGCAAAATTAAGAAAAACAATTTTAAAATTTTCCCTCACATTCACTGTATAAAAGAACTACTTTAATTACTCATGCCTAGCGCAATTTTAAACCAACATTTCTCATATTTTAAAGCAATAATTTTCTGTTTAATTTTAAATTGCTCTAAAAATTTTGTTTAAACGTTTTAAAGTTACAGCTGAGAAACATAGGACAACGAAATTATTATTTTTTTTAAAAACTGTCCATATTTTCATAAATATTTAAGCTAGGCTTGCAAAATTTCGTGAATTTTTCGCATATAACTACGAAATGAATTGCTACAAGTTACAAATATATTGCTACATTTTTTAGCATAGAGTATTGAATGAGTTTGTAATTTATTGTTGGTTTAAAAGCTTTTAACTTCCTTGATGAGTATGAGAAATCACATGGCCTAAACACTTCCGCGACAGTAAATGAGCCTAAACTTTCTTTTCTGCTGATACTAAATGTATAATTTGAAAATCAATAGAGATTAATTTTTTTTTAAATTATTTATATTTAAATAAAGTACAGCTTTGTGCCTTCTAAAATAATTTTAAATATCTTCTGATTTTTTTATTTACCATATTTAAGGTTAGCCCTTTGAACCACAAGGCTAGCATCTTAATTTTAAAAAAAATCAAGCTGATTATATAATAAAAAGCGTCAATCAAATTATCAGATTAAAAGTCAGATCCTCTTTTCATTTTATACACTGCGGTGATTAATTTTAATGTTCTTGGTTGATCAGCATAAAAACAGAATTAAATGCACAGAATTTCTTCTCTGATACAGTTTTAATGAGCATTACGCTTCAAAGAAATTTACGCAGAAAAAAAAAATCTTTATTTCATACAATTTTTCGTTCTCTTAAGTTGCTTTTAAAATAGAGAAACATCGATAAACAAAGTTCTATTGAGCTTTGTCCCAATTTTCAGTCTCTCTTTCTTCAAAACAGAAAAAAAAGGAACATTAAAAGGGGATTTTCTGAATTGGACAGAAAATGCCGGCATCTTAAAAGCCATTAAGTTGGTAAATCTTAAATAACACTTTATTTAACAATTTGTTTTAAATTCGATACTCTGGATTTTCTCTGCTGATCTAATGGTTGGTCTCAGGGCCATTTCACCTTTTTTTCCTTTCTTCTTTCTCATGATAGTAATAGCGACGAAAACTCACGAAAGTTAAGTTTTCTCTAAATCCTTTTAAACATCGTCTGTTATTCTTTCTGAGTCGTTTGGCTTAAAGCTAAATTATAAGTATCCACTCATAAAATATATTTAACTGTATTTTTTTTTTAATTATTTGCAAAAAACTGGTTGAATAAATATTTTTTTTTATTTTCAGTTTAATACGTGAATTAAATTTGATGACGAAGAAAGAATCAAACACCGAAGAAATTTGAAATTTTTTTAAAATATATTGAATCATTTTACAATAATTCAAAATACTAGTGGGTTGCGCCCCCTGCTCGCTAACGCTCGCCAACCCCCGAAAATTGCTACGCAAACTTATATGGTTTGCTTCGCAAACCAAGCTCGCTTCTCTCGCTACTAACTTAGGTACATTGCAAATGCACAAAATTCTAAGAATTCAAAACAATCATTCAAATCCATATAACATTTTGTTTTAAAAAATTACATCTTTTTAGTAAATACTAAGTCATTATAATAAATTTAAACAAATGACATGTAATTCGTTAAACCTATTAGAAATGTGCTATAGTATAAAATATTAAGATAAAATTTCTAAAACTAATATCTCTTTAAAAAGGTTAAATTTTTGGCTATAATTAAGTCCATTAAAAATTGAAATAAGTGAATTGCAATAGAAAAACCTGCATAAACAAATAAATTCTAGTAAAACAAATAAATTCGTGATATAAATCAAAAATCGTCAAATAAATTCGTAATATATAAATTCGTGATAAAAAGTGCTTTCGACAAAATACTAAAATAGAGATCTATTGACAAAGACTACTCACTTCTGCCTAGCTTATGCTCTCTCTGGTTATTTCAGATTCCGTTTTTAAAAGCGCTATGTGTTGAGCCATCTCAGCTAGATTTGGCATGTGACACTTTTAGCGGTAATCATGGGTCGATTTTCTAGCGTTGCCATTCGGGGAGTTGTAATGAGGCATTTTTTTGTCGCCGTGTAAGAGAAATATATATATATAGATTATAATTATTTTGCAATTTTTAATTATTTGGATAAAAGTTTGAATCTAATAATTATGTTTTGAAATTAAAAATAGAAAATTCAGCGGTGCAGACAAAATCATCACTGGGTTGTAAAAGTCTATAAAATCAATCAAGATATTTTTTTTTATTTAA